AACATTGTTTTCGGTAGCTTCGTCAAAATAATTAATAAAGACTCTTTGTCCGATAAATTGGTATTGACTCGTTCATTCGTACAATGACAATATTCGTCGTGTTGTTGTAGTTAAAAAATGCAGGCGTCAAAATTTTAAGTGAACAAATTATTTTTGAAATTTGTTCGCCATTCAGATATGAAATTCGATGGCGCATTTTACGAGTGAGTTAACATAACGTACATGTCGTGTAAAAACAATATTATTCAGTTGAATATTGCTTTTATTAATATAAAATAAACTCGAGACATATATACTATATTTATAGTCTCGCACACTTTGTTTAATAGTCTTTAGAAATAATAATAGCTGGTAACTCTTAGAGCAAGCTTTTTTGGTCTCATGTACAACTATGACATTTAATTTATCGAGCTTAAACGCTAAAGCATTTTTACACTATGAGAAGAAAATAAGTTTTCTAAATGCCATAAATAGATTTTAAATCAGGAGACCCAATTTCTTCAAACTTAATTTAAAATGTTATAGCGGAAAAATATTATTCTAGACGGTAATGGTTGGGGTTGCGCACCGTCAACGTGCAGGAGACGAGGGGGTTGCGGGGGGCGCGCGGGGAAAACGGGGGTGTTTAGCCGGCGGCCGGTAGATTGCATTTCCTTGCTACAGTCGCTAATCAATTTTTATGACTATTTTTGCAGACCAGTTTACCCTCTTAAATGCTTGTTTCACACGAGGGAAGTACAGCGATTCAGAACAGCAGGACAGGAAAGTACTGTGATTGTTTGAACTCAACAGACTCTGCGCACAAACTAACATTAAAAAACTTTTAGTTAGCCATATCGCTAGACAAAATATTTCAAAATGTATAGAAATAAATATGTACTATTTTGATAGTGAGTGTTCGATCACACAATGGTAATACTGCACTGTCTACTGCTGTGTATGCCTGTTGCCCTCGTGTGAAACTAGATAAGAGGGAAGTGATAGGTAAACCTTTCGACCGTGCTTAAAGGTTGAAACCGTAAACTAACAGCCACAAGAAAATTAGTTAGCCCCGGTACACGGCGTTTAAATTCATATATATATATATATATATATATACGAGTATATCTCCCTTGATTCGTCGACGTATTGCAATTTTTTTTTAATTTATCGAGTCAAAGTAGATTAAAAAGAATAAGGCCGATTACACACGATGATGAAAACGTAAGTAGAGAAGCTTTATGTAACATATATACATCGGCAAATCTAAACTTATGTATAATACTGTTATGTCTTTATACCGTAAGCCAAATGATTTCAATAACGGACAAGTTGCTAATTGAAATTAATTGGATTAGAGATAATGCAATGTTAATTAATTTTCTAAGTAATCGGATTATATAAATTCCAATAATCTCTTAGTCAACGCTTAATGGTTTTACTTACATATTTATAACTTTAAATACACTTAAGAATCTTCATTAGTATAACTAATATTATAAATGCGAATTCTTAGATGGATGGATGGATGGATGTTTGTTTGAAGGTATCTCCATAACGGCTGAACGGATTTGTATAAAATTGGCATACATATAGAACATAGTCTGGAAGAACATATAGGCTACTAATTACTTTTTTTATTTCCGCGTGGATGGAGTTGCGGGCAACAGCTATTATCTATCTTTATTAAAACATCGGTCATTATAACTTATACATTTTAGAGTTTTAAGTTTTCTATAACGTTAAATGTCTTATTTATTTTCTTTCCGTTTCAAGCACTCAGGGTCGTTAATTGCTTATTGAAAAGTTTCTTTTCACAGAAACGTGAGAAATAACGATTGTAGTTTTTGAAATGTCACCTCGAACGCCCTAGGGGTGACAACGAAACTGCATCTGAATAACGAGAATTGGACTCGTCTAAGTACTACAACGGCCACTTGTAACTCAAGCACTGTACTTGGGTTGCGCCTCCGTGAAATGCTTAACACGTAGCTTCAAAATAAATATATGTAAGTGTGTAAACCCCTAATTTTCAAAGGATAGGGGAAAAGGCACTCACGACCATTAAACATCCTGGCTGGCAGAGTTTACAGTTTCAATTTGAAGCTTTTTTGTAAGACAGTAAGGTGAATGATGTATGGGTGTGCATTTTATTGTGAACTAGAGTCTAAACAGCAAAACATATTTTTACTATAATATTGTAAAGATTAGATTAGATTAGATTATATTAGATAGATTGATTTGGTGGACAGAAACCTGGTGCATTTACCCTACGTAAGTAAGAAAAGTTCAGGGAGATGATGATGATGTTCTAAAGGTATTCGAAATTACTTATAAGTGTTAATAGTAGAACTCAATAAGTAAATCTACTTAACAACAGGAATGCAATAGCTCGGTATTTAATATATTAATAAATCCAATGATTCTCAACGCTGAGGATTACGAAGATTGTAAGAAAGTAATAAAGCGTAACTTACGACCTTTGCAAGTAATAAACTGGGGGAGTTTAAATAATGTGTGTGTGATAACGCCGCTATTCGCCTCCGTTTGAAATCCCCTCACTTTTAACGTAAGTATTTAAAAATTCCATTTGGTTGTCAATTTGCCGGGTGCTATTTCACACCGGCCCTCAACGCGATGTATACTTTTTCATTTATATTTAACGTATCGTTTTATTAGAATAAATATTCATGAGAATTGTACTTGAATAAACAGAGCTGTTATGGACGGTCGCGTTCTGGGAAAAAGTTTTATGCATATCATAAATATCGTAAAATAAATGTTTTAAGTAAATGAAATATGTTTATTTTATATATATTGTAATAACATTTGGTCTTAATTCAATTATTGTAAGTGTGAATACGAAGAGACTTGAACTGAACTGTTTTTTTTTATTATTCATCATTAAAAATAAATAATCAAATAAATTAGTAACAAGTGATAAAGAAGTGACTTTTTCACGTGGTTGTCAAAGAAGAAAGGTTAGAGGCACAGTTGCGGCCGACATTCTGCCGCCCGGGGCGACACGTGTCCAAAAATGTTCCCTCCACCCCACTTGACCCGGCAACAATCTCAAAGCTTCGCAACAAATATTATTTGTACCTTAATAATGCTTTGTTACAAAATTTAATTATTCCACATTCCATTAGAGACTGTAATAATGTATAAACATTAATTAAATCTCCGTCTTGATTTCTAGACAGATGATAACCATTGCGATATTGAAATTGTAAAAGATTTTAACATGTCGAGGTCAACCGTCAAGTTGCCTACCCTTATTAAACAAAACTTTAATTAGAAATAACGATATGTCACAATTTATTAAGATTATGAGAAACACAACCTTTGCTATCATTTTAAGCAAGTTATTCTCTTATTTTCCGTACAATGTAAATAGCAATCTATCAAGTACATGTTCTATTCCACTCGAACGCCCCGCGTTATTCACTCGATTGGAAGGCGTTGACAAGACGGAGGCGTTCCATACACCCTTCTTATGTTATTTTCATACTAGGACAGCAGAATGAGGTAGAACTGTAGGATAACACAGTACTCATTCAAAAGTATACACTGAGATATAATGGAACTGTTTTGACAGTAACTGTGACTTCAAACTTCAGAATCTTCAGTATTCAAACTTCAGTTCTGTCCTCGTGTGAAACTTGTATTATTTACTCGATTGGAGCGTGATAAGACATAGGTAGGCGTTAAACATGCTTCTTACGATAAATATAAGTTTTAATCATCTGTACATGATCTATGCTTATATAATGAAAGTATATAAAAATTAAGTAGTACGTTTTAAAGAGATCTCTATAACGAATACAGTCATGGGTTAAGTATATTGAACAGGCTTATTTTGTTACGATATTAATTACAAAATAAATATTATTATAGCGGTAAAGTAATTTAATTTGCACACATCTGATGGGCGCTTTTAACTGTAAAGTGTAATTAAAAACATGAATAATTGGTATTGTTCAGACTTAATGTTGATTATAACTCATTATTTGTAGTGAAAATTTTGTAATTTGGATTTAAGACCATTTCTTTTTACATTACACATTACAGGAATCTTAAAAGTAAAATATTTGATATATTTTTAGTGTATTTTAAAATTTTTTACGTTTCTATGTCTATTACGCAACACACTTTCTCATTTTATTTTGTACTCTGCGTACTAACATTATAAATAAAAAAGTGTAGATGGAACGTTTGTAGATGGATATTTGTTATTACTTAACTCCAGATCAGCTAAACGGATTTCGTTGAATTTTGTCATAGATGTAACACATATGCTACTTACTAGGTATATTCTTTAATTCAGGGTAAATGAAGTCGTGGGCAATAACTAGTCTTATATATAAAATTCTCGTGTCACAATTTTCGTTCCCATAATCCTCCGAAACGGCTTGACCGATTCTCATGAAATTTTGTGAGCATATTGAGTAGGTCTGAGAATCGACCAACATCTATTTTTAATCCCGCGCGGACGGAGTCGCGGGCGAAAGCTAGTTTTACTATAAAATAGACTGTAAATAACTATTTCAATGTAAATATTCAGTTTCGTACATTCGTGTCTATCCTAATTAGATCTGTTGCTTACCAACTGTTCGAGGTAGATTTTGCAAACAGAGGCACGTGTCATTGTTGTATTTTAATTAGGAAAGAACACACATACAGAATTTAGTGGAGTGTGGCAACCTAAGCAAACCATTGCACGGCACTACTCATGATGTACCCATTTATCTTTAAAGAACAGTCTTGTTTGTGGTTTACAATAATATATACGGTGATTGACGTTATATTACTTTTTATCTTCTATCATTTAGTTACGTAGGAAGAGGAGAGACATTTTAGTATGTTTGTAACGAATAAAATTGTCGCGATATAGCGAGAAGTTGTATTTTTCTGGACAGCCTCATTCGGGTTAATTTTTTTATCAAAATTTGAGAAATGACAGCATGAAAACTTTTTCATCGGCTGCCAGAAAATTGTGAAATAAAACAACAAATTTTAAACTAAAAATGACAGTAATTTATGTTCAAATCGAAATCAAATAGTTTCAAAATTTTGCAATAGCCAAACCATCCATCACAATAATGTTTTAAAATAATATCACAGCAAACACAAAAAAACAGACATAATGGAAGAGTTTTTAGAAAAAATAAAAAAGAAGCTATCTGTTGACAACATTCTCGATTTTATGAAAGATGGAAAACTTAAGGAAGAGATAAAGCAAAGTTTAACGGGTAAGAAAAGCGACATGGAATCCTTTTTGTAGTAAAATTATCTCAACTTTATACACAACTGTTATCAAGTGCATTAGGTTCGATGTTTGCATGTCATGTTTACAAGTTTAAATAATGAAAAGTGACTACGGTATTATTATTTAAGTTTACGTTAGAGAATCATACTATATATAACTTATATCGTAAAACATATTTAACACAACTCTTGGTTGGTTAAATTTAGTCAAATTCGATCAACATATTGGGAGACAAACATCTTATTTTCACTCTTCATTCTTAACAGAAACTTCGAACGTTTATACGGTAATAGCTTTATAAGGATAGTTTTCTTTAATATGAAACGTGAAATGTAATAAGAGATGATAAATTTTAATATATTTTTGATATTGATGAACTTGTTCTTACAGCTACCATAAATTTAAATGAGAAACCTAAGCAAGAAGAGGTGAGGTCTGCGGATATATCTAAGAATATGATGGATCCTAAAAATCAAATCACTGTGGAAAATATACAGCACAAGACAAATGAAGATCAAAGTAAGCAAACTAAAGATGAACCTAAAGAGACATCTGGCGATAAGAGTGGAACGAATCATCTTAATATCTTACAGAAGCCTAATGTTCAACCCGAAGTGGAAAAGGATACACCAGTCACAAATTAAGATATCAACTCTCTGATTAATTAAAATTTACTAAACAACTTGAATTAATGAGCAATCGACCAATAAAATAGCTTCATAAAATATTTTTTTATTATCACTATATACCAAGTTAAAATGTTCTGGCGAACCTACAGGTCCAAAAGTCAAGGATTGGAAAATTCGTACAATAGTGCTTCAACTTTGAAATACAATCGATACCTATGAAATTTTAATTTAAATTATAGATAAATGACACATTTAGTAACTTTTATCAAAGGGTATAAGTACGATTCAAATTATTTCAGCACCGGTCAATTTAAGTGAGCCCCTTAATTTGGCAGACGAAAATGAGATACAGGAAAAAGCTTCGGGAACTAATTTACAAGCAGGTGAAATAAAAATTTAGCCAAGAGATTTAATTATGTAACTAAATCTTGCATATAAATCTGAGCTAGCAGTAATTAATATATAAATTAGCTGCCGCTCGTGACCCCGCGCGAAATAATAAAAAAACAACTTAGTAGCCTATATGTTATTCCAGACTATGTTCTACATCTATGACGAATTTCATCAAGATCCGTTAAGCCGTTCCGGAAATACCTTCTAACAAACATCCATTGATCCATACATCTAAACTTTCGAATTTACATATTATATTAGTTTATATGGTTAAAAGATTTTGTGAATTAAAAAATATAACGTTGGTTTGTATAATAAAACATAAGCGTATTTCAATTATTTCAGCAATTATCGAGTTAAATGAAACAATTAATTTGCTAGACGTGAAAGAGATAAAGAAAAAAGCTTCGAAACCAAATTTGACAAGACCCGACACAACTGCAGAATCAAGTCCTGGACAAAGAGAGTCAACTGCTACTGGTTCGATAGAGGGCGCATCAGAACCCGATAAAAGTAATATCAAAGTGTTGCAAAAACCTCTAACAATGCCGTCACAAACAGAGCAAGTGGAATCGAAAACGCAGTTTGATGACTTTTTTAATTTGACGTAGAATTGCAATATAATAGAAATAAACTGGATATGGAACATTTGGCGAAGTTTTGTATTAGTATCGACGTTTTCCTAGGGATGTTCTTTTCGCTTTTAATCTTCAGAAACAAAAGTGTACGTTAACAGAATGTTTACTTAACACGCAAAACAGGCGAGTACGTTACAAGAGTCTGTCGAATCAATCAGTTCAGATATCTCTGACAAATTTTCGCATTTTTACACGCGCATGTTCTTACTGTGTGTTTAAAATTACATCCTAAATATGGACTAGATATGTATGAAGTTTGAAGTATTCAGATATAAATGACAGGGTTATTTTGGGTAACGGTGTGAGTGTTATTATGACAAGTTGTACTTACATTGCCATGAAGGCTCTCGCCGAGGAAAGTAACCGGTCGCATGCGCCCCCGCGGGAAATCCAGCAGGGGCGCCACCCCGTTTGGGGGCTCGGCTTCAGGTAGTTTGATGGAGGTGAAGAGACCCGGGATGGGTCTCTCACGACGCCGATAGCGTTCTTCCGGGTATGCCTGTTAACAAAAAACACCGTTAAAATAAGCTTAAAACGATCACTTTTGACACTCTTGCATAAATAAATTGACATCCTCTTTGAAAAAAAAAACAGATAAATATTATGTTTAAAAAAGTGTGTGCTGACAATAGAATTTGACACATACTTTCATATTATTGTTGCGATTAGCTGGCTGCTCCGCAACAGAAATCATCCTTTGTTTTCATGCAATTAGCAGATGCTATTAGCTATACTTTATTTTATTATAGATAACAGTTATTTGCTTATTCATAATAATTAAGATTGATGACTGTCGAGGTAGGCAATATTATTGAGTTTAAAATAAAGTTCAGCCTGTCGATAGTGTCAGGGCTCGATCACGTATCCATTAGTCAATTACGTTTCACCAAAATATTGTGAGTTAATTTCGCGAGCGGTATATCGATCATATCTCGCTACGGTATTTGTCGTTAATAACGGCGATGGTATATTTTATGTAGCAGTAAATAATCTAGGGCCTCACTTAATTGCTATTCCCCCTAAGCAAGATTGTGCTCCTATAATTTATGTGGCTCGATGACTTATTGTTGTTGGCGTTGTAGTGTTCCGATATTCGTAAACAGAAAGCGTTAATCATCACTCTATATGATTTCGAGTAGATGCACTTTGAGTTTCCATTCAAAGTACTTATGGTGAATGTTTAAAATAAGAATTTACATCTTTTAGAAGATGGCTGAGAAAGAAAAAGAGATTATCCATTATTCATCACGTCTTATAAAAATTATCATAAATTTTAATGCGATGTTACATTTATATTATAAACATCGAGGGTTCACAAAAGATACGTTAATAGATAGATCTCAAAAGAAATTATTTTGCTAAATTATTTAATTTACATGCTAATCGTTTTATGAAAAATGCCCAATGGATTTTTTCCCATTGGACTATTGATAGATAGGCCGATTGGTCCAACGGGAAATATCCATTACCATACAAGGATTATAACTGAGCTTAATAATTCTCTAGCAAAATGTTAACAAAACGGCTACGCCTTGCCAAGTTTCTCTCCTCACTAAACCGACCTTTGCTCATTTATCATTTCTCAAACAGCCGCATAATACCCCTAATGAGTAAAATCCAAGCATACCTTAGGCAATACCATTAATATTACAAACCCGACCTTTCCCCTTTAGATGGCTACCTCACATAGAATAGTTTAAACGTTGTTCGCCTATGTTTCGTGGTTTTCGTTTACTACACGGATCATTTTATGATGAAGTTTTGGTTTCAAATGACAACTTTACTCAATTACTACTTTTAGACATTATTAGATAGTCCTTGTTAGTTGGTCCGAATAGCGCGCTTTCGTTACCAAGTCGAGTGTCAGAATGTTTAGTGAGGCGATATAAACGTCGACATTTTAGTAAGGCTAGTGTTGCGCCAGTACACTGGCGCACTGTCGGATTTTCTTCCTAAAACTACTTAAGCAATCAACCGTAATATAAGAAACTATTTATGTATTTAATTGCAATATAATACATTATTATAATAAAGAAAAGTATATCATAAAAATTTCAACGTAATTTATAACGTATTTCTCTTCTAGTATATGAAAAACAGTTTGATATGTAGCTGCCTCTTAGAGGAACGTGTAAACAGAATGAAATAGTTGTTATGCGAAGCCAATCCATTATTTAATTCAGCGACGGTAAGAGAGGCGATGGAGGGGAGTAGGGGGTCCGAGAGGGTTAGGGTGTGAGGGTGTAACGGGACATGTGACATATTCACGCGGCACTCGGGGGTACTTACACCGGGTAGTGGCTGTGGCTACACGGTACCGTATGTTACAAATAATGGAGTGCCCGCAAAAAGATGGCGGTGTGAGCTTTAAAATGTCGCATAAAACATAGAAGTTGCCGTATATAAAACAGTCTTCGGGGCCGAAATCATTTTCCAGAAGGTGCCAGCTTTACGACTTCTTTTTAGTTAAATCAATTTTATGGTCGCTAGTTTTATTTGTATTTCTAGGTTTGTGCTATGGGTTTTCACTGTTGAAACAATTGTACAAATATTTATTGATTTATTAGTTTTTGTAGGCAGTGGAAATCCATAGTTGGTATAAACATTAATTGTCGCCTCTAGCCGGAGATGGAAGCGTTCATCATCTTTTAACTCGCATTTTTTATTCAATGCAACATATTACCACTAACATTTATACATAGCTAAGCTACAACCACAAGAGATGTATTAACTTGGTTTAAAAATGACATTGTCTGATAAATGAGAAGAATATCTAGGAAGCATATAATACTATTGTGATAAATATGTTATACGAATAATTTTAAAATCTGTGATTCTTTTTAACCTGAAACCAAGAATTGTTTATCCTAATCCGTATTTTACACATGGTTTTTTTATTCTATTAATATTATACATTGTCAGAACTGTCAAGTTTAAAGAACTAAAGTAAACATAATATCGGAAAAGAATACTTTGTGGTTTCTTCTATTTAAATATGAAAGGATTCCTACGAGCGACGGCGCGGGCGTGTTCGTCCCGTTTATTTTACGATCCTCTTTAAAAAGACTTGGAGCACATAAACAAAACTTATTACTTACAACATGTTAGTACACAATGCGAGTTAATGCAGCCACCTCATATACTACGTGTGTTTTTATACTAATTTAGAAGTTTAAGTCAAATTTAGTTTTTAAATATTTGAACACAACGCCAACCATCCATTGAAAATGAAGAAATTACGAAAATTTTCTTTGCATAATATTCTAAACATTGAATGAAGAAGAGGATATAACAATTTTAGAAACAAAATAATTTTAACTTTTCTTTTTACTTCTCCGTCATTTACCTTTCAAATTAAATAGGCCAAGTGAACGATCATAAACATAAAATGTACACGTTAAATGAGTCTAGAAACTCAACAATGCAATTAAAAATTTAAACCCCCACGAGGGCTCAGGTGTTCTTCAGGCAATGCATTAATTAAGATTTCCGTAAAAACCATAAACAAGGCATGTAGCGGTAACACTAATTACCTTAGTTAAGTCATATTGTGTGCGGTCCGGGGCATCCACTCGACTCTATTCGTGCTATCCACCGGGTATCAACGTTTGTGAACATTACTGAATACCTTGTGTTATAATGGGCACGAATAGAAATTTTTAACCTGGATTCTTGCCAGTAGAAGACGACCGTAAAAAAGAACGTGAACGAAAATGCACGTCGAAGGGAGAGAGGAAAAGATCGAACTAGTAACTTTATAGTTTGCAATCTTTCTAATATTAAAATGCGAATGTTTGGATGGAGGTATCTTTGCTTGAAGGTATCTCCAGAACGTTAATTTATTAAGTTTATTTTTCCTGCCGCGCGGACGGAATCCCGGGCGACAGCTAGTTAATGCATAAATTTGAAAAGAAATACGAAGCAATAATTGAATGTAACGTCTTCTAATCCCATCAATAGATTAGATATAATTACATGATAAACTTAATTAAATATAACATAGAGAATTTAGGTAAGATTCTTGAATGTAAATCCAATCCAACCGTTTGTCTATAAAGTGAATGCGGATTCAATTAATGCACTTCCTCTCTTAGAGTGATTTTGGCAAAAGCGTCGCTAACTGTGACCCAGCTAAGCGACACTCGAAACACAACCACGTTCACGAAGTTTCCTTTAACTTAACATTTTAGGTCATAGAGCTATTATCAATAGAGTTCGCACCCGCCTTCTGCAAACGTTTGCCGTAATTCGATATCGTCTTTATTAGTTCAGTCTTAACCTCATTATTTATTATGTTATTGTAACTAGCTTCGAGTTTATATTGAACAAGATGTTGTTCGAAACGTCAAAGTGGAATGAAAAATAGACTACGTTATTTTCACCTTTAACAACTACATTTCAGTAAAAGTTCCGTACAAAATCAGTGCGGACTTTCGGAGATTATCCGGAACAAACGCGGATAGGCGAAAATTTTAAAAACTGTTTTTATTTTTATAACTAACGCAAATACAACGTGGGTACGAAATATGATTTTATTAAAAAAAATCTTGCAAATTAATTTAGTAAACAATAATTTAGACTATTGGACAGTACCCTTGGGAATGATCCATTTCTATCAATACAATTCCGAAGTAAATCAGAATAGAAATGGTCTATCAAAGTTTGACTCTTTTGGGAATTAAACCTGAGCCTTGCAGCTGAACATATTGTACTTTATTCCTCTATAAGGTTATTTTTATTCTATCATATTTTATTTATAGTTACATTGTCCAATTTTCACATGAAATAGAAGTGAAATTGTGTACATATTGTTAAGTTTCAAGATGACCAGATATTGGAAGCGATTGACCTAAGCTCGGGAGTATTGAGTCACTGAATTGAGTTTGGAGCAAGAAGCCAATCAGCCATGATACGCTTTCGAATATTACATTCTCTACAATTTGTATACATCGCAGTCAGTCAAGCACAAACCCTCGGACAATGTATGAGATGTAATTACAAGTCGAATTAAA